AACATTCGATTCCTATTGATTGGAAAAGAGCTGATTAGTTTTTGGCAAAGGCAGGTCCAGCCGTTTCGGAGATACGGAGCAAAGAGTGCAGAAAATAGAAATCGAATTTTTGAGAGAACGGAGTATCCGATTTGAATGATCTAAAAAACATTCAATTAGTAATGATTGGGAGAAGTGTTTATTAGTTTTTGGCAAAGGCAGGCCCAGCCATTTCGAAGATACGGAGCTAAATATGTAAAAAATGGCAGTTTTTGAGAGAACTAAGCGTCCGATTTCAATGATTCCAAGAACTTTCTGCTTGTCTTAACAAAATAATTGATTTTGGAAAAAAAAATTTGTTCCAATTTTTTTTTTTTTTTTTTTTTTTTTTAGTATTTTGTATATCGAAAATATTTCAGATTTTATTTTTAATTCTGACTATAGTTCTAATATACTTTAGAAATAATTTCAACTCTGCAATTCGGTTTATATAATTCTTATAAATATTAGACAATGTTACAATATTTATAATAATCTATTTGAAAACATTCAATATTCCTCGAACATTTCGTTACGGTGCGGGAAGTTCCAGCAATTTGCCTCAAGGCACGATGCCATAATTGCCTCGAAACAGAATTCCACTTACAGCTAGTTTAATAAATCTTTATAAATGGCTTGTTAATAATAAATTTTTTATAAATTTTAACTACTGATTATGGATTATACACATCTACAAAATATAAATTTTTATAGATTTTAACTACTGATTATGGATTATACACATACTACAAAATATAGACTCGAGAGCTCTCGCAAAACACGTCCGTTCGCGTCGAGGGTTCTACGTGATGTAGGTAAAATATAAGTTGGATAAATACACAGCATGCACAGGTAAATAAAATGATACAAATATAAATTGTTTTCTCATAATTATAATTTTCTATTTATATTAATTTTATTTCAAATTGATAATAACTAATTTTATAAATTATGTTAGAAATTATTTGGATTCCTGGAATCAATTTTTTTGTTAAATCGTCATTATTCGTCAATCATCAATTCATATTATATTATTGTTAATATAATTTCTATATTTTGTTGTTATTAACACTAGCTGACCCGGCAAACGTTGTTTTGCTAAGTAAGGCTTTCTAAACAATTTTAAAGTATAAAAAAAGAATACTTTATTTTAGGAGTGTAATGATGTGTTGTTTGAATGGTACAGACAATGAGGTATTATAAACACAATAAACCCCAAAGTCTACTTCTTTCAGACATGTATTATAGGCATTAAGAAACATTGTCGGTGATGTCATAATTGATGCTTTTAAGGCAATATTAGGAATTCCATTTAATCCTGGTGCCTTACTATTTCCAACCCGATCGCAAGCTTCCATCAGTTCTTGCAGTGTCATACGTGGAATATTATTCAGTTCTACATGTGTTACCTGGATGTTCAAATTAGGTTGTCGTAGGAACAAAGTAGTTACTATTTTTTTCAATAGTCGTGGGCAAATTGGTGAAGGTATTGGCTGGCTTTTGAGGCAAGACATTACAATCTTATTAGGCCTTCCGCATGGGTTTTCCTCGACTTCATCTAGGAGTTCTTTCCAGCACCTAACTTTACTTTCTTTGAAAGCTTTATTTAGTTGCCGACGTGCCTGTTTGTATTCCACTACCAGTTGTGCACATTTTGTGAGACTATATCCTCGCTGAGAGATCCTTCTTTTCTTTTAGCACACTTTACGAAGAGAGCTGATTTCTTCAGTCCACCAGTGCACAGATTGTCTTTGATTTATGCCATGCTCACGAGTCATACTGATATCACAAGCTTTGTTTATTCTCTCCATCAGCTCTCTAGTATGCTCATCTGCGTATTCTGAAATTATAGGTTTGCAATTTAAGACAATTCTCATGTCGCTTTCATCAAAAGATTTTATTTTCCACCCAATGGCTTTAGATATCTTCACATGTTTTCTAATAAAATGAAAAAAAAATGTTTAGGGAGAAAAAAATAATTCGATAATTTTCAAAATAAATATTATCAAATTGATAAGCTTCTTTGGGAGAAATATTGAAGCTCTGTTCATTTCTTGCAACTTTGTTAAGGTGAATCTTACATACAAAACGCTATAAAATGGTTTTAAATGGTTTCTTATTTTAGTTCGGAAACTAAAATAATACATTAATTGTTATTTTATGATAATTTAATTATTTCGTTGTTCGTATATATTTTTTTTCTTTGAAATGACATCTATAAGATAAAAGTGAACCTAAACTATCTGCCAATTTGGTGTGCTTATTGATCATTTTTGACCACCTACGGGTAAGTCATAGTAATTCGAAAAACGAAACGCAAATGAAATAGTTTATAAATATTTACGTTTCAAAACCTTCTGAACATTTTGGCATACCTTGGGAAAAATAACTGTATGATTGTGTATTTACCGTTACATTTATTGTTGACGTTTTTGAGACGAATCAACCGATTGAATGATTCAATTGTCGAGAAGATGTGCTGATTAGTTTTTGATAAAGACAGTTTTGCCTATTGCGGAATACGGGGCAAAACGATAAAAAAAGCTATTCAATTTTTTAGAGGCCCATTCTCTATCCGATTGAAAAATTCAAAATATTTTACTTGTGCGACGAAATAAAGAATTGACTAAATTCTTGCGATGGCAGAGTCAACGTTTTGGTGATCCAAAAAAGTGCTATTTGGTGGTCAAAAATGATCAATGTAGATTTGCACATCAAATTATCATATTTTAGCCAATTTTTGGAAATGAAAAATGATCATTGGACATACGCACATCAAATTATCACATACTTTATAAGAATATTAATAATAAGTACAAATTTTGTTAATATTGCTTTGCAAAAAAACTCTAAATTTTCAAACAGACTGCTCCTTCGGGAAGTTTCTAATAAGTCAACCCTAGTAGATAATTTCTAATAATGAAGTAATGAAATATAGACGGATCAACAGTCGGCTCATGCTCTACAAAAGTACGACATAAGGAAAAGATTTAGGGTGTGAGTTTCTGATTTCTATTTGCACTTTCTGCTTCGTATCTTCGAAACGGCTAGACCAGCCTTCAGGACGTCCTGATTAGATTTACCTATCAACTTATCAATCAATCTACCATTTTACCGGTCTATCAATGTACCTGTCAACCTATTTACCTATCGATTTGTTTATCAATACAACATTTTACCTGTCAACCAATTTACCTGCTTTCCAACTTATCTGTCATCCCGTTGTAAATGTCAACCAATTAACCTGTTCAATAATTTAGCTGTTTAATAATTTGTCTATTAATTTATCCATCAACCTGTTTATCGATCATTTTACCGACCTACAAATTTACCTGTCATCCGTTCTGCATGTCTACCAATTAACCTGTTTATTTATCTACATATTCGTCTATCTACCAGTCATACTCTCTACCATTTTATATATCCTCCAATTTACCTGTCCATCAGTTTACCTTTATAAATTCTCTAATTCACCTTATTTATTTACGCATTATAAAAAAATTGATTCTACGTTTTAGTTAGAAAACGTTTGTATGTGGAAAAGAAAAGAGCTGTTTTTAGGGTTTTTCCGGCAATTATTCGATTTTTTCTTGTCGTAAAAACCACCCTTGGACTTCAGCAAACATTTCAAAAAAAGAATTGGCCAAATTGGTCCAGGCGCTGTTGAGTTATGCGCTTACCAATACATTTTGCGATTCATTTTTATATATGAGATTATGAAGATATAATTTTTAACTTTGCGTTGGGTAAGTTATAGTAATTGCAAAAGAATCGAAAATGTTTTTTTTATCTTCACGTTTCCAGGCCCTCTGAACATTTTGGTATACTTCAAAAAGTGTATGTGTGTATGTATGTATGTATGTTCGATTCCGATTAATACGAAGACGTCCTGATTAAATTTGTAGACAAATTCATGGCCGGTAATCACGGAACAAACATCTGTAATCTCGTTTTTAGTTCCCTCTCCCTCGTTTGGGGCGCTGGTAGCGCTATAAAACGGGCTAAAGAAAATATTCGAGAATCTAATATGGCGGAATAATATTTTAGTGTCAAAGTGTCAAATGTTTGTTAAAAGTTTATAACAAATATCATGTCAAAGTGCGGTGTACAATAATGCGGAACATCAACAAATATGCGAAAAAGGTGTATTTCCTGCAGAAAATGACGTAATATGTAAAATGATTAGTAAAATAACTGGAGCCCGGGCTGAGCACTGATGGTGAGAACTAGGTGAATAAGTTTTATCAATATGTATACAACAAAATACTCGCATCTATTACTAGAACTTCTGATATAATTTGTTATTGTAGCTCAATAACTGAGACATTTAACAGTATCAATGCTAGGAATTTTAAGGTTATAAATACAAGACACCCGTCTTACTAAATCCCTTTCTGGAAGCTATGTTATTGAAAAATTATTCTTTTTATAACACTTTTTTGTATTGTTCTGGCAAAACTGAAGATGGAAAACCGTCCCTGAAAGGTGAGTTATTTAAAATTTTTCATACTACAAATTAAGTTCGTAGCAAATGATTCTAGATATTTTTTTTCAGCAGAGGTTCTTAACTCAAGATATAAGCACTGCAGAGACCAGATATGCAAAAAACAAAATTTATACCATATAACAAATGTGTTGAGAAAAGAAGTCAGAAGGATAAATATACAAAAAAATATTGAGGCAGAAGTTACAAGAAAGTGTCAAATGTGCTGACAATTTTGCTTATCTCCCAGCAACATTAAATAAGAGGGCTCGTAATTTTATATTAAGTCAACTAAGAGAACATACAAAGAAGCGAAAAGGAAGAAAATTTACACTTGATGATAAAATTCTTGCTTTAACTCTGCATACAATTTCTCTAAGAGGTTATTACTTTTGGAGAAAAATATTTGTTTTGCCTGCTCCTCAAACATTGAGAAATTTGCTCTCAGCAATTCCTTTGTATAGTGGTATTAATGAGACCCTTTTCCAAACATTGGGTTTAGCTATGGCACAGAAAAAATATGTGAATAGCAAAAACTGTATTCTGATGTTTGATGAAATATCATTATCATCTGCATTCTTGAACGACTGTAAAAACGATCATATTGTTGGTTTTCAGGAACTGGCAAATGGTAGAGAAAGTTTATTTTCTGATAATGCTCTTGTCTTTTTCAAATCAAATAGTTGATACTTGAACTGTACGCAATGTTCATATTTTTTGTGATTGTTTAATGAATGTGTTTTTTTTTTATAAATCTACTAGCAAACCCGACGAACTCCGTTTCGCCACCAGATGGTTTCGTGAGAAAGATGAAGAAATTTTTTGTTTGTTTTATATTTGAAAAGGAAAAATTTGATTTTATTGTACAACAGTAACGAATTTATTTTGATTACAAAAATGAGTTGAAGTTCTCTAAGTAAAAGAAAGTGAATCTGCAAATTATATGTTTTATTGAAGAGCCTTTTGGTAAACAACATTTTTTGTTTTTTGGCCTAACACAAACAAAGCGGATGGTTTCCCAACTCGTGAACAGGCAACGTACAACTGGCCATGCGAAAAACAATGATTTTCTAAATTTATACCGCAAACACTAAGCGATTGACCTTGCGACTTGTTAATTGACATTGCAAACGCAAGGCGAACTGGAAATTGTAATCGTTTGAAGTCAAACGGAAGACCAGTCGGAATCATTGGTATTCGAGGAATATATACATTTTCAGCTGCGTACTTTCCGTTAATAATGGTTGCCTCAATCAAATTCGGCATAAGTCTTCTTACTGAAAGTCGAGTACCGTTGCAAAGTTGCGGTGGATTCAAATTACGCAATGTCATTATAACAGTGCCAACTTTGAGTTGCAAGTTATGTGGTGGAAATCCTGGTAACTCCAGAGAGTTCAAAAACTCCGTTGGATAATTTACTACATCATCGGGATTTGTTATGGAATCAATGGATTTGTATGTCACCAAATCGCCAGCAATTTTTGACTGAATGGCGAAATTCAATGCGTGCACATCATTATTTTTTGCGGCAAGAATTGCTCGTTGACTTAACCAAGCATAATTCTGATAATTTTCGCTAATGTTTGGGAAAACATTTTCAATAAGTTCTAATTGAGAGTCTACAAATCGGCAAAAGTCATTGGTAAGAGTAATTAATCCAGATGTCGCATCAACTGGGACTTTCCCATTTCCAACAGCTAACAATTGTTTGGAAAACTGTGCAGCACTTTGATCATTTTGAAGTTGAACTCTCATATTAGTGGTTAGCGATAATGTTTTTACGTTATTCCATAACGGTGATGCTTTCAGGCAAGCATTCAATTCATCTGTAGGCGTTCCACGAGGAATTACTGGCAACGTCTGCCTGAAATCGCCTGCCAACAATATCATCAAGCCGCCAAAGATGTTGTTATTTCGCCGAAGATCTTTTAGTGTAAAGTTAAGTGCTTCAAGTGATTTCTTGTGCGCCATTGTGCACTCATCCCAAACAATGAGCTTGCATTGCGTCAACAATTTTCCCATTGCACTGGATCGGGAAATATTGCATGTTGGAGTATCAATTGTGTTTAAATTGAGTGGCAACTTAAGTGCAGAATGTGCAGTACGACCTCCATCTAGAAGAGTCGCTGCAATTCCCGATGATGCTAACGCTAAAGCTATGTCACATCTTGATCGAATAGTGGCCAAAATCAATGAAATGTCAAATGTTTTCCCTGTTCCTCCAGGTGCGTCCAGGAAGAATAGACCACCAGTATTATTGGCCACCGCTTGCATTAATGTTTCGTATACTTGTTTTTGCTGTTCATTCAGCAACGGCACATTAATTCGAACGAATTCTTGCAATGTATCAACATTGTATTGCAGCTCTCGATTTAATTCTTGGTTGAATGCATCGTGCATCGATCGATTTGGCGCAATCATTCCTACTTCAATTAGTAGCTTGTTTGCAATAGTCAAGCATTGATCCTCAATCAGAATCAATCCTTCATTGTAGATTTCATCGGTTATTTGGATATCAGGATTGTTAGTTTGAATGCGCAAGCGATGCAAGATATCTTCACATATGTCGTCTTTGTATTTGTTCCATAATTGTATTGGTTGTGAAGGAAAGCATGTGGTGATGATAATTGCGAACAGCGTTCGTATTTGGTACGCATTTGATGAAACAACTGAATCCGCAAGTGTTAGATCCCAATGAGAATCGTTCTCCAGCAAACCCAATAGTTGACATGCTTCTCGATATGTTTGACATCGGTGGCCATTCACAGTTTTCAAATGCACAAATGATTTTGGTCCACGCACATTTACCAACAGAAGTCGCAAATAAAAACATTCATCACTTCTAGGATGAACAGTATATATGCGACCAAGTGCATCCGTGGAAAACACATGTGGCCAATCTGGAATTGGGATTCCTTGTTTGCGGCGTTGGAAATTCTTTGTTGATTGATTCCAAGTGTAATACTTAGGCATATCAACGTACATCAGCGTCGCTGCGAATGGATCTGCTTCACACATAGCAAAGAAGCTAGTCAATGTTGTCGATGGTGGTCTCTCAGCTCGCTGTGCCGCATTAGCCTCAGTGAAGTAAACTCTTTGGCCGTTTTCCAAATGCACTGCTAAATGCATAACTGTGGGATATTTTTCATGAATTTGAAATGACAATAATCGCCACAGTGCTTCATTACTACTGACGTATCTGCCAATTTGGAAGCTGCTAATTTCGTCATTCGCATTTTCCGACGCAATACCAAACACAGTCATGTCGGTGCCTTTTGTGACGTACTTGCACAAATATTTGATTGATTTGGCCGAATGACAACTTTCAACGTTTGCATGTGTTCTGAAAATTCGAGATAGCAGCGGGCAATATGGTACAATAAATTCATTTCCGATCTCAATCTCTTGATTTTGAACTTTAACTTTGATAGTTCGACCATTTTCTTCTTTTGAACGCCGACGATAAACTGGATATCCATCGTTCCCTGTGAATGTATCAGCAACTAACGGTCGCGGATATCGTTTTGTGCACTTTCCATTAGCCATGCAAGGCGATAATGGATTTAATGCACCGCACGGTCCATGCACCATCTGTGTCGTCACAATATCGTGTAGATGGGGATCAGTGACTGGATCAGGAATTTCAGCTGATATGATGTCATCCACTTCATTTGAATGTAATTTATTCAGCAACCAAATTAGGATATGAGCATGCGGTAGTCCACGCTTCTGCCATTCCACCGAGTACATATAACAACGTGTGTCACCAAAAACTCGATACTTTGTAAGCACATCCATCATAACCTTGAGTTTTTGCTGAAATACTCTGGCTATTATGTCATGGCGATCTTGCGGTTTTTGGCCTATTTCCAACTCACGTTCAATTTCCGTCCACTTCGGATTGCAAGTGAACGTAATAAATAAATCCGGAGTTCCATAATGTCGCACGTACGTCATAGCGTCTTGAGCGTATTCGTGCATGTGGCGTGGACTTCCGGTATAAGATGATGGGAGAATCGTGAGACGTCCAATATTCTGAACATCACCATCTGAATGAATAGCATCTCGCAAGTGTATATAGTCCTCAGATCGTAGCTTTGCCTGATTGAATCGAATGAACGCTAAACGTTCGGTCTCGACTTTGACATACATGTCGACAGCGAATTGCTGGAATAGCCGACGGCACTTCAGAATGACATTCTCCTCATGTGAACGAATCATCATACGATATGCATAGTATTTCATAGCGCTTAGATTTTTATTCGTTGATAAGCCTGAAAATGCAAAATGGAATGAATTGTTAATGGAAACAAATAATAGCAATAATAAAAATAATTAGTGTGTTAATATTGCACCTGTAATTGGATCGACCATCTTCAACGTGATGTCGTAACCGTCTTGCCCTTGCCAATAAATGATTGGATATTGTAACGCGTCGTACAAACGATGTGTCTCGTTTACGCGATGCATGATATTGCTTCTTCGCTGAACGACAATGTCTCGCGATTTAGTTGGATCGCCAACAATAATTGCAGCAACATCATTAACGGTGGGTGCATTGAATCTTTGCACATGTTCACCTCTTGGGGTACAATCCGCTCTTATGATAAATTTGTGCGTATCTGATGGCATTCGTTCCAATGCTGTTTTGAACATGTTAACCACAGCATTATTAGCGTGAAAAAATGATTGCAACTGTTCAATAACTCGTCTCTTTAACTCTTCCTGCATATTGCACCGCACATTCAGCTGATCCACCATCGACGAAATTAAATATATTTGCAGAAATTGGTGCTGTTCATTTGGTGTTGGCACCATTGAACCATGCAAATGGTATATTTGTCCTTGTATCTGTAATTGCAAACAATCATTAGTTGAAGAATACGGTGTAACTTCTGATCGTGTGATGGTGTAGTGTGTGGTGTGCAATTCATTGTGTTGGTGTGAGTAATTGGTTATGTGCGTTGTATCTTTTACCTTGCAAGTCGGCATGAAGCCGCCTTCTTGAATGATATTAGCTCCAAAGGAAGTCATGCGAAAGCAGTTATTGTATTGAAGGATGTGTTGAAGAAAATGGCTGGAATCGGGGTCACTTCCATCAAACAATGATTTCAGTGGCACTGGTGGTGCAAGTAATGGATCCAGTTTTACTTTTCCACTTGCGCAGCACAATCCAGCCGTTTCTCTTTTGAACTTTAACGCATTGCAATATCGGCATATAGTCGTCATTGGTCCAATATCGAAATTTTTATCATCACTGTAGTTTGCAGTGGGATCATACTGGAATGCCAAGCGATTGTATGATGTCAATGATCTACGTGTACTGATGCGTTGTCTTAACCGGGCATTTTGTCTTATTATATTTTGTCTGCCTTCGCTTAAGTTTAGTAAATACACTTGCTGCTGGCTTGCATGTCTTGTGCGGCGACCGATGTTCGCACGTCGTCCTATAGGCATTTCAGACTATGGACAGAGTGGTGAATTTAAACTCAAATGCACTATCCACATAATTTACACAGTTTAACTTACCACCTTAAAGACAAACGCCTGCTTTAAAGACAAAAATTTGCACAAAACACGTGATATACGGAAAAGAATAACTTATTTAACTTTTTTGCACAATTTCACTGTAAACACAATGCCGGTTTGTCACCTGAATTTAACTGAACGGTGAACATTGAGATGTCAAACAATATATCTACCTGCGCCATCTACCGACTGCGGTTTGGTTTGTAGTACATGCTAAGTTTTAGAGATGACGCCGCATGTAAAAAAAGAAAATATGTTTTCCGCTTTTCTGTTGAATTTTTTTTTAAATTTTCTTAGCTATAAACCTTGCGGAGCCCGAGACCTTTCCAACGAATGTAAAATTGTCGAAATCGGTTCGCGCGTTCTGGAGTTATTTCGTCAGGAAGGAAAACCCGACTTATTTTTATATATATAGAAGATAGTAATAAATAATGAAGTTGTTAAATGTTTTAGCAAATGTAGAAATCGTAAATAAGTGGCTACTTCATGGAGTATATTTTGCTAAACAGTTTATTTCTGTTTATTATTAGTGATAATACATTTAACAGATGTCGAGAAGTATATAGATCATGAATTGTACAATAATTTACCGGATAACAGCAGAATAGTTTGCAAATGACATCCCCATATAGTAATTTATTTTAGTAAGCTGTTGATATGCTTTTCAGATAAAAGTAATTTTGGTTTTGTCCTTTAATTTATTGGCAAATGTGTTTGCATATAACTTTCTTGAACTTTTGCCAGTTACTGTTATGAGAACATAATGATTTCTTTTTCTTTGTGATAATGATGATAATGATATTTTGATCAACATTTAAAAGCAGATTAACGCAATGTGCAGAAAAGGTTTTCAGATAGAGACTATACATAGATTTAATGTAACTTATCATTATTTGATTGAGTACCAAGATGAATATAAACAGAGTTAATTTACAAGAATATCTTAGGCATAAATGTTATTCCTTATTTTCGAATATGTTTCTCTTTTTTGATTGCAATATAAATTTATGACCTTTTTGAATTGTTGTTGCTGGGATTTTAAGTTAACTTTTGAGCGCATGAAGAGAGTTTTAGTAACTTCTATCTCTTTTGTTTGGTATTTATTATTCGGATCAATTCTCAATACTTTAGTTATATGGTATAGATAATGTCTAAATTATATTTAAATTTTCTAGCAATTTAGAAAAAAATATATAATTTAGATAGTTTTTTGACATGAAAACACACACACACACAGACACACATAATAGGAGTCTGTGCCTTAGGGCAGGTCTGTGAGCTAAAACTCAATTTCAATTCAGGGAAGAATAGTGTGTGATATGAAATGGCCATTTCATTTTGCAGTGCTGCAATTGGGCTATTTTTGAATACAAGAAAGCGAGGCTTGGACACACCACCCTGTCCACACAAGACATTGAACAACCATATGTACATATATATATTAGGGTGGTCCTTAAAATGGTCATAGATAAAAAACAATTCTCTAAAAGTTTTAGCTCTTAATATTAACGTTTAGATAGAGCGCAATTCAATCAAAGTTTTGTATGGAAATAGCATGGAAAAATTTTCAAAAATTTTAAAAATGTTTTTTAGGTGTAATTTAGCGAACAAATGAATGAATAAAGCTCATTCATTTGTCGCTAAGTTACACCTAAAACATGTTTTTTTAATTTTTAAATTTTTTTCCATGCTCTTTCCATACAAACTTTGATTGAATTGCGCTTTATCTAAACGTTAATATTAAGAGCTAAAACTTTCAGAGAATTGTTTTTTATCTATTTGGAACCATTTGAGCCCCTGGGAGCAAGGAAATTCGAAAATGACCATTTTAAGGACCACCCTAATATATATATATATATATATATATATATATATATATATATATATTTCTATGCCATTTGTACATAGTGTATAAAGCTTAGTAGCATCTATTGTAATCATATATGATATATATATATATATATATATATATATATATATATATATATATATATATATATAGTGATGTGCCAAGTCGAATCAAGTGATTCGAATCATTCGAATCAAGCCTTTAACGACTTGATTCGAATCAACTCGTATCAAGCCGCGAAATATTTACTGTGATAAAACATGTGTGAACACAAATTTTCATAAATATAAAAAAATGTTTTAATTTAATTCAATATTATAATAATATAAATAATAATAATAATAAATATAAAAAATAATAATAATAAATATAAAAAACTAGTTGGTTTGGTATTTAGCCTTGAGGCAAGTTACATGAACTTCCCGAAATGTGTAAATAATCGACTTAATCAAAAAAAAATGTGTAAATAATATACTTCATTAATCCTACTTTAAAAAAAAACGATAATAATTTTAGCAAACTTTGACGAATTTTTAAAATTAAACTACTTGTTGTAAGGCCGTAATATTACAGTAAGTTCTATAAGACCATGATGTATATCGCCAAAAAAAGTTCCATGAAAAACGGCTTAATTTTTTTTTTTAACAGTTAATTACGAGAAAACGGCTCGGTAGATTTTCACCTAAAATTAATCAGCATCATTCCCAACTAATATATTTCGAACAGTTTTTGATATTTTAAAATCGGTTCGGTAGGATGAGCTTAAATGTCGACGAAAATTTAACACTTTTTTCAACAGTTAATTACAAGAAAACGGCTCGGTAGATTTTCACCTAAAATTAATCAGCATCATTCCCAACTAATATCTTTCGAACAGTTTTTGATATTTTAAAATCGGTTCGGTAGGATGAGCTTAAATGTCGACGAAAATTTAACATTTTTTTTCAACAGTTAATTACAAGAAAACGGCTCGGTAGATTTTCACCTAAAATTAATCAGCATCATTCCCAACTAATATCTTTCGACCAGTTTTTGATATTTTAAAATCGGTTCGGTAGGATGAGCTTAAATGTCGACGAAAATTTAACACTTTTTTTCAACAGTTAATTACAAGAAAACGGCTCGGTAGATTTTCACCTAAAATTAATCAGCATCATTCCCAACTAATATCTTTCGAACAGTTTTTGATTTTTCAAAATCGGTTCGGTAGGATGAGCTTAAATGTCGACGAAAATTTAACACTTTTTTTCAACAGTTAATTACAAGAAAACGGCTCGGTAGATTTTCATCTAAAATTAATCAGCATCATTCCCAACTAATATCTTTCGAACAGTTTTTGATATTTTAAAATCGGTTCGGTAGGATGAGCTTAAATGTCGACGAAAATTTAACACTTTTTTTCAACAGTTAATTACAAGAAAACGGCTCGGTAGATTTTCACCTAAAATTAATCAGCATCATTCCCAACTAATATCTTTCGAACAGTTTTTGATTTTTCAAAATCGGTTCGGTAGGATGAGCTTAAATGTCGACGAAAATTTAACACTTTTTTTCAACAGTTAATTACAAGAAAACGGCTCGGTAGATTTTCACCTAAAATTAATCAGTATCATTCCTAACTAATATCTTTCGAACAGTTTTTGATTTTTTAAAATCGGTTCGGTAGGATGAGCTTAAATGTCGACGTAAATTTAACACTTTTTTTCAACAGTTAATTACAAGAAAACGGCTCGGTAGATTTTCACCTAAAATTAATCAGCATCATTCCCAACTGATATCTTTCGAACAGTTTTTGATTTTTTAAAATCGGTTCGGTAGGATGAGCTTAAATATGTACGAAAAGTTTTTTCGAATTACAAAGAAACGGCTTGTCAGATCGTTGCACAAAACTGACAAACGATAGTCCTCACCGAAATACATCAAATGGCTTTTAAATTTCTAAAATCGGTTCAGGCGTTTTTGAGAAAACGTCGATCAAAAGTCTAAATTTGACAAATTCCAAAAAGACCATACTGATTTTTGCAAACTTTGACGAATTTTTAAAGCTGAACCAGTTGTCGTAGGGCCGTAATATTTTAGTATGAGCTAGAAGACTATGGTATCTATCGTCAAAAAAATAATCATAAAAATCGTCGAAATTTTTTTTTTAAAAACTTTATTACAAGAAAACGGCCCGGCCGATCTCTACCAAAAACTAATCAGCACGATTCCCAACCAATATCTTTCGAACGGTTTTTGAATTTTCAAAATCGATTCAGAATTGCGGGCTAAAACGTAGACGAAAAATTTTTCACTTTTCTGCCATTTATAAAGAAACGGCTTGGCCGATCGTCGCACAAAACTGACAAACAATAGTTCTCGTCGAGATACATCGAATGGCTTTTAAATTTTTGAAATCGACCCAGCCGTTTTCGAGAAAACGTCGATTTACGGCAAAAAATCTGTTGGTGCACACGCACACACACACATACACACACACACACACACACACACACACACACACATACTTTTTCCAAATTTGGTCTCATTCGATTCAGAATGGCTTGAAACGTCGAGAAAACATAAAATTAGCGAATCGGATTTTTTGATGAAAACATAAACTTCTCCTTCGGGAAGTTAATAAATCTTGAATTAAATCATGCGAGTCACCCGGCTTTAATACGCTTAAATGTATCACCCGACTCCAATTTATATGACTTTAACCGCATTCATTGTCTAACAATACCATCCGAGTTCCTATGACTCAAACCGACTTATCCCGACTTCAAGTCGTTATGAATTGATTCGAGTTCCTATGACTCAAACCAACTCATCCCGATTTCAAGTCGATATGAATTGATTCGAGTTCCTATGACTCAAACCGACTTGAAGTCGATATGAATTGATTCGAGTTCCTATGACTCAAACCGACTTATCCCGACTTCAAGTCGTTATGAATTTATCCGAGTTCATATGGCTCAAACTGAATCATACCGACTTGAGTTCGAAACATGTGTCCGCGTTTCAGCGTATCGACTTATCGAGATGCTGTGCGTATGGGTCTTGAGTGTTTGTTTATTTTTGACTAAGCGCTGAGAGCAAATTTGTTCATGAAATATCAAAAACTCATTTAGATAATAAATACGCGATTTAAATTTTAATTATTATCAAAATAAACTACACAACGAGTTTTATACACATACAAAATTATCATATTTTAATTATGCAAGTAATGGCAAATTCACACAAATGAAATAATATCAATCTTTACAGTAGAGTGAGTAGAGGATTGAAT